CATAGAAAGAATGTAGTAAATAAAAGATAAACAATTAATCAGCTGCATTTCTCAGTAATTTATTTTTAAAAAGTAACAAAAACATATATCATAGAAATGACCAATATACATACATATCAATAATGTCACAACTGAACCTGAAGGCTGCACTTCTAGCATACCTCTTCTAATTGGGGGCAGTATTGGACCATAACAAAGCTGCTACCATCAACATTATATGCAATGGCAGTTTTATGCTTATTTAAAGCTTAATAATTTTATAACCAGATATTGTAAGAGCACCAYGAGGCATAGCCATCATCTGCTGAATGAGCTTTATAATTAGAAATTAAGTGGCTGCTCTAGGTCCAAGTATGCAGGACTGGAAGCACGGCATGGAAGAAGATGACAGAATAATGAAGAGAAACAGAAAGACTATAGTGCACACCAATAATTTTTTTTTTGTCTGCAAAGTAAATTCCAGCCACAGCCTTTTCAACCTGCCCTCAAGTTCCATAAATGAAAATGAGCACAGGAAATTTAAAGAGRATAAAATGGTCATAACTTTAAAGAAATCTGTAGCAAATTATACTTATGTTTCTGTGTGTTGGATGTGAAGCAGTAGCTTGTGAAACTTTATCTGTTGTCAAAAAAACTGTAATTAACTGAGTCAGAAGACGTGAAAGTTTGTGACTTTCCCATGATTTAGCCTTGGAATTCCACACTGCTGATGTTGTGCTCACTGCAAACGATTCTCACCAAATTACTTCAAGCCCAAATKTCGGAGGAGGTGAAACTGAGTTTGCCATTGGATGTCTGCCCGACTCATTAGGTGTTCTGTTAGTGTTTAAGTTTGCATGTGAGTTGTACATTCAGACTTTAGGAGTGCAGAATGTCTGTATGACATCTGAAGTCATTGATTTAGGATATAAAAGAAGTTTAGAACGTACACATTTAAATAAATCCATAAGAAAACATAATGACACACAGCACTGCCCAAGTTATTTGAATATGTCAGAGTCAGAGACTGTTACACTTGTAAGGTTCAGGAGAGATTTATTACGCTTCATGCTGTTTAGAGGTCAGGCATACTGTATTAGCCGTGGTTTTCCACACGGCTGGTGCAGACGAGAGAGCGGCTGTGGGTCGACGAAGTCTAAAGAACCGTTACTGCAGCCATGGGAAGTTCTCCCTGAAGGAAAGACATGTCAACTTTTCCATCTCTGAAAACTTTGGCTCCAAACCCGGGGTCCGTTCAGAGCAGCCAGATCCATTTCCATGTTAGTTTTTGAAAGTGTTTCTGATCTTCACAAATGCTTCTTAACTCCACCTTGATGAATTGCAGTGAAGCCAGAGTCTGGGTCAATGGGAAAAAGATGATTTGTTACTTTTTTTAAGCTATAACCTTTCTCATTAGTCAGGGATTGTTGTAATTTGCCTTTTTCTTCAACAAGGGAACCCTTGTGTTCCACTCTTTCAGTTTGCTTGCATGTGCAGAACTGCGCTGTGTGTGTTCTTCTTTTTTWAAATCTCAACCCACAGCAGCTGCAGGAGTTAGAGTCATCCAGTTGGACTTGAGAGCAGTTTTATCAGCTCATTAACAAAGAGAACAAAATCAGCAGAGAACAGTAGCAAATTAAAAACCAAACACAGGGCTTGTTACCGGACCTCATGCTTAGTTGGAGTTTACAAATATTTGATTTGATTTAATATAGAAGGAATAGCTAAAGACTATGGGCCGGACCAGGTATTGTTGCCAGTTTTGTTAACAGAGGTAATTAGATAGGAGGGGTCTTGATCATACAATATGTTGTAGATGTGAYGAAGTTTCAGCTGATTTATTCGGAGATTGACTGGAAGCATTTGAACCTGTTTGAACTCTGAGTAACCTATATGGGTACGAGGTGGAACATTTAAAAGAAACTGAATTATTTTATTCTGAGACGTCTACAGATGATGCCAATCTCCTGTTCCACCACATCCCAAAGATGCTCTATTGAATTTAGATCTGGTGACTGTGAAGGCCATTCGAGTTCAGTGAACTCATTGTCATGCTGAAGAAATCAGTCTGAGATGATTCCAGCTTTATGACATGGAGCRTTATCCTGCTGGAAGTAGTCATCAGAAGCTGGTACACTGTGGTCATAAAGGGATGGACATGTACAACAATGGACAACAATACTCAGGCAGGCTGTGGCGTTGACACGATGCTCATTTGGTACTAATGGGCCTAAAGTGTGCCAGGAAAATATCCCCCACACCATTGCACCACCACCACCAGCAGCAGCCTGAACCGTTGATACAAGGCAGGATGGATCCATGCTTTCATGTTGTTGATGCCAAATTCTGACCCTACCATCCAAATGTTGCAGCATAAATCAAGACTCATCAAACCAGGCAACATTTTTCCAATCTTCTATTGTCCAATTTCGGTGAGCCTGTGTGAACTGTAGCATCAGTTTCCTGTTCTTAGCTGACAGAAGTGGTACCTGGTGTGATCTTGTGCTGCTGTAGCCCATCCTCCTCAAGGTTCAACGTGTTGTGTGTTCAGGGGTGCTCTTCTGCAGACCTCGGTTGTAACGAGTGGTTATTTGAGTTACTGTTACCATTCTATCAAATCGAACCAGTCTGGTCATTCTCCTCTGACCTCTGGCATCAACAAGGCATTTGCGCCCACAGAACTGCTGCTCACTGGATATTTTCTCTTTTTTAACCATTCTCTGTAAACCCTAGAGATGGTTGTGCGTGAAAATCCCAGTAGATCAGCAGTTTGTGAAATACTCAGACCCACTTGTCTGGCACCAACAACCATGCCACGTTCAAAGTCACTTAAATCATCTTTCTTCCCCATTCTGATGCTCAGTTTGAACTGCAGCAGATCGTTTTGGCCATGCCTACATGCCTAAATGCATTGAGTTGCTGCCCTGTGATTGGCTGATTCAACATTTGTGTTAATGAGCAGTTGGACAGGTGTACATAATAAAGTGGCCGGTGAGTATATGTAGGCATAAATACATGTCTTTTTTTGATACTGCTGAAAACAATGACCAGACCTCTGAYATGGCTCTCTGCTTCAGTTATTCCTGACTGAACAGCATCATTGTCACTATCATGATCAAACAGATACCACTCAACCAACCATTTCCCCTTCCAAGACAGAAACACAAGGCTAAAAAGTGGAAAATCAATAATGGACATCGATATCAGCTCAGTTTTACTTRTCGAACCAATACCGATGTTAATGCTGATATATAGTATAATGCAATGTTTATGTTTCTTGGACAGACCAGAACACCATATTGTTTGTGGCTTAGGTGTCATCTGGGCCCTTCCTGTTTGCATGTTCTTAATTTGCATATATATTTTTTTAATCTATTTTTTTACTTCCTTCCACCTTGTTTGTTTGGCACTCGATTGGAGATAAATTACCCGATAGGTGTGAGTGTGTGAATTGTTGTGTGTCTCCGTTTTGACCCTGTAATTTGTTGCTGACCTGTCTGTGGTGGGCCCCACCTCATGCCCATTGGCTRCTAGACATACAACAGGCTCTGTGTTCTCACAGGACAAACGAGGACACTGCCAATAATGTGTAACTAAAACAAAAGTCTTTCTCCTGCAACAAATTACACAATAAATGGCAGGATGGATTCTTAGCTGCAGAAGTATGAAAAAAAAACATTCTGATTTGTGATGATGCATTTTTGTGAAAGCATGAATCAGTGTTTGACCCTTTCTCCCAGTTAGTCAAATATATCTTATTTCCTGTGAAGTTTTTCCTCCCTGCATTTCATACTTTTGACATTTTAATCTGAACATCCGTTAGCATTTTGCCAAAACTAATATTTTGCTCAGAGCAGAATTTAGGGATTTATGAAACACTTCCAGTTTTTCATCTAACGCAGATTTTTAATCACGTACGCTTCCCATGTGCTGTTTCCTCACAGAGATTGGACCTGTAACAATCACAACAGACCCAAAGAAGTTCCAGCAGGAGTTGCGAGAGCTGTACGTTCAGGTGGGTTCAAGAGATCCGTGGAAGAAGCGGCAGCTGGAGTCAGGGCGCTCAGGTCATCTGGTTCTGATAACATCTGGTTCTGATAAAAGCAGCAGGCTGTGWTCAGAGACATCTTGGTAGGAGGATCCATGAGCTGTTAAAAAAATTACATCAGTGACTTTACAGTGGATGATAAAGAAGGTCTGTTAGGAAGGTCTGTAAATGTGAACACATTGTGAAAGAAACATGTGACGCTCCAAACAAATGTCAAAGACAGTTCAAATGTTTGTTTTTTATAAAACCTTTGTAATCTGCGCACTTATTCGTTTCGGCTTCATTGTGTGCAGCATGGAAATAATTCCCTTTTCTCCCTGAACCTCCTCACCTGTACAACTCCTGATGAGATTTTGGCAAAAGACCGTATAGAAAAGAAATAGTTTTTAGATTTCATCATTTTTATTAAAATTGTAAATTTTCTGTCAGAGATTTCTTCTAAAGCAAAGAATTAAAAAAAAAACAAGGATGTTGCTGCATGTTTTTGAAGAAAAACTGTGCACATGTGGTGTTATAAGGTTTACTTTTGGGAACTTAAGCAGTTTGCCAGAGGGAAATTAGGAAAAACAGAGGATTCTTCTCTTTCTCTCTCCCTCCTCAGTCCCCAAATTTAAATTTAAACCTTGGGTCACTCTATTCCAGATGTTGTTCCTCAGGACAATGGATCCTGGTGAGCTACCGAACCCGATGAACAGATGAACGTCGTTGTTGGAAAACTGAACAGAATATCTGTCTGTGAACACGACAAGAATTACTAAATAATTATACTTATTTTTTTAAAGGGGACATGTGCAAAATCCACTTTTTTCAGCCATTAAATGCATTTTGTTGTGTGCTTGGAGTCTCTAGGAGTGCTGAAAAGTTAAATTTAGTCTATCCTGGTGCTGCGTAAATATCTTTATATTCTATTTGGATTGTATTTTTCAACCTGTTCAGTTTTCTCTGTTTTCCATGACGTTTTCTGAACAGTTAAATCACTGTATTTGCGATGAAACAGACAAATAAGGTCTGAACTTACCAACTATAATTTGGTGGTCTTCATTCTCCTCAGGTTCTGGGTCAGACTCTGGCTCCAACAAGTAAGACTGGATGGACAAGTCTTCTCTTGTTGACATCTTTTAATTCATTTGGGGGAAAGAATGTTTCTGTGTATAGTCGTAAACGGGGTGTAGCAAAAAATCGATTCACATCAGAATATACTGTAGCAAAATATATAGCAAAATCCAATGACAGCCTCCATTTTGTAACTACGTGGGACGTCCTGACGTCACCACACAGCTAGTTCTGGAACGTATGCATGCTCAGAAAGCACCAAAACAAAGAGGAACCAACAAAACTGAAGGAAAGCCAWATTAAACAGGACCCTTCTTTATTGAATGCAAAGAATTGGTCTCATTTTGGTCTTTACTGGATGAGTGAGTTTGACATGAGTTTCACTTTGTGGAAGTTTTGCAAAATGAAGATGAAGCACTTTAGGAACACAACAAATGGGCTCGCATTATCAGTCTTAAATGAAAAATTGATTTTGAATCAAATGGTGGCCCCAAAAATCAGAATAGAATTGAATCGAATTGAATCGAATCATGAGATACTGAAAGATTCCCACCCCTATCGTAAACCCCTCTATCAAACTAGAATGTGGCCACTCTGGAAGCTATAGGGGGGCAGGGTGTGAAGTGCCTCATTTGGATTTAAAGAGACAACCTCAAAATGAGTTAATCTGAGACACACCTCAGAAAAGTGGTGAAAGAGGGGCTTGTGGAGTTACAACAAGGAGGAATTCAGACCAAAGCATTGCCGTTCAACTTTATATAGACCCCAACTAAATGATTTAAATGTGAAAAATACAGATTTAAAAGCATCATAGGTCTCCTTCAACGCCATTTGATTGGTAGTTATGATGCTGGACTGCTTTATTCCCTGCAGTAAATGCATCATAAGACTGATACAATCCCAAAACTACAGAAGCATTTTYGGTGAAAATGTTTTTCTCATAGAAATAGTTTTCAAGCAGCTCACTTTATGAATCTTTATGATATTTCTTTTCTTTGTAGGGCGGTGGTGACTGTCCAGAAATGAGCATTGGTGCCATTAAAATCGCTTTGGAGATCTCCCTGCCAGGATCCTTTATATACGTCTTCACGGATGCCCGATCTAAAGACTACAAGCTGACCCATGAAGTCCTGCAGCTCATTCAGCAGAAACAGTCACAGGTTTCTCAAGATGCAATGATGTAGTCTGTAACTTCGTTTGAGGAATAAAGCGGACACATTTCCATGACTGCTTCTGCATTAATTCAGGTGGTGTTTGTGTTGACGGGCGACTGCGACGACAGGAATCACATCGGTTACAAGGTTTATGAGGAGATCGCCTCTACGAGCTCTGGACAAGTCTTCCACCTTGACAAGAAGCAGGTCAATGAGGTAAGAGAATAATGGAACTACATCACTACACTTCTGGTATTRTCTGTTCTTTTCAGAAGACAGATTYACCCACACTGTGGTCTCTTTATGCTCTGCATGTTTTTCACATGTTTTAAAAAAAAGCATCTGGATCTTGCACAGAAGTGTTCRGCCTCCCCACAGAATGAAGAGGAAGTACGGGACAGAGCATGTGGGGAATGTTTGAAATTTCCAGATGAAAAAGCTTTCACACATTAAGTGGATGATCTTACATGCTGCCGRGGGAGCACACATGTGTTTTAGCTGGCTTGTTACTCAGGGGAGCCGTTTTCATTCAAAATCAGCATTTAAAATTTAAGGATGTTATGTGTTTAATTATAGTTAGAGCTTCTAATAGAAATATAAACGACAAAATAATCTAGAACTTTTGGTCTGTTCTCTTTTTACAGGTTCTTAAATGGGTAGAAGAGGCGGTGCAGTCCTCGAAGGTCAACCTGCTCTCCACAGATCATTTCAGTCAAATCAGCAACACATGGCAGATGCCCTTTGACCCCAGCATTAAGGAAGTTACCGTGGCTCTCAGTGGCCCAGCGCCTAACATTGAGATAAAAAATCCCCAGGGTATGATAATGATTTTAATAGTATTATGAAGGTACTTTTTAAAATCTATGCAAAGTACACAAATACACTTTTGATTAGAAAGTATTTTGCAAACATGCACATCAGTGGGATGAATGTATGGCACATAAAACAGTTTGAGTAAATCAAAAAGCAATTCTTTTTTGTGTCCATCATATGTCAGATTCCAACATCTGGGTTCCATACATTGTTACACACTTTTTTTTAAACTTACGTATCTTCACTAATCCTTGAATCTTGCAGCCAGGCACATTTATGTTGATGAAAGCAGCAGAAAATAACTGTCAGTATCTTTTTCTTGGCCTACAGGAAGGTTGGTGGGGGAAAACGAGGGCCTGACTGAGCTCTTGCACATTCCCAACTCTGCCAAAGTTGTCAGCATCAAGGACCCACAGCCAGGATTGTGGTCTATCACGGTAAACTATTCGTTCCCTACCTGGATGTGCATGTAAAGTTAYGTGATTCTAAAAATTCCCAGAGCCGAGATGTTTGCAGATGCAGATGTTGGAAAAGGTTTAGGAATATAATGTTGTCTAGAGGTCATKGCCCATATTCTCAGATGGAGCTCGGACTTTAAGTAGGGTTCATAAATTTAATATCTGGTGATATAAATGCATGCTGAGGTACAATAATCAGTTTAACAAACGTGCTCTCTTGTATGAGCATCCCTCAGCCAAACCAAACCATGATCAAAAATACACCTTTGTGCTCCGAGATGTAATTTACAACAACCATGTCAGATAAAAATAAATAAAGTTCAAGGCCACTGCTTTCAACACGAGCTGCTACGTTCAAATGGTTGGCAACATGCTGTCAGTGAAACGCCAAACAAATCCCTCTTAACTGCCTGTTCTGTCAAAACCAGATGTTGGAAAATGACAAGAGGTTTTACCAGAGATATTTGCTGATGGGACATCATTGGCTCATCTGTTCTCAGTAGACCTGATCTGGGATGGTTTCACTCATTCTTACATTTCTGTGTTTTGTGTTAGAAACTTGACCCAACTACAAGGGAAATAAAGGATGAAAAGCAGTAAAATTTCACCWTTTCCTTTCTAAAGCCACCATTTCACTGAGCTGCAACTGTTTGCAAGTATTTGGCAAKTAGCGAAGGGATTCTTCAAAAATGCTTCAAAATGTTCGTGGGTGCCCTCGGTTTTCTCATAATAATTATTAAGGTGTGKGGGGGGGGGGGGGTATTCTGCAAAATGGACTGTTTTAAGCTTTATGTCATGTTATAATGTCATCCCCTCCTCAAAAACATATCCAAAGTGTTGCTTTGACTCATTCGTGCATGTTTGGTAAATGGTAACTTATATAGTGCTTTATCAAGTCCCTCCAGACCCCAAAGTGCTTTACACTTACAGACATTCACCCATTCACACACATTCACACACGACAGTGTTGGGGCTGCCATGCACGGGCACCACTGGACCCTCTGACCACCATCAGTAGGCAGGCAAGGCGGGGTGAAGTGTCTTGGCCAAGGRCACAACGACTGAAACGGCTGGATGGGAGATYGAACCGGCGACCTTCCGGTTCCAGGACGACTCCCCTAACCCACTCCCCTAACCAYCCTGCCACAGCTGCACAAGTGGAAGAGAACTTGGAGAGGTGGAGTTGAAGAGGAATGAAGATCAGCTGTAGAAAAACAGAGTATTTGGATTGAATGAGAGACAGGTGGGTAAAAAAGAGAGGAAGGTCAAAAAGAAGATATATGGATGCAGTTAGAGAGGACAGGGGGGTGGTAGGGGTGAGGACAGAGTGAAGACGTTAGCTCACTGTGGGAAACCCAGAAGAGGAACAGCCAAAGGAAGAAGAAGATTGAAAAACTGGTCAAGCCCAGAAAGCAAACTAAAGAAAAACTGGTCAGATATAGCAAAAGCACAGAGCTTCAACAAGGATTTGGTCAGAAATAAGTTGAAGTCCAGAATTACTCATAGAGGGGGCAAATTACTTCATGCAAAACAGCTGGGTTGATTCACAAATTAGAAGCAGGTTTGAGAGRAGAGCTGAAATAAGACCAAAACAAACCAGGAAACAGATTAAGAAAATACAACGTTAATACCCAATATGAAAACAAAACTGGAAATAAAACCAAGACAAAGTTAAAAAATAACAGAATCATAAATTCATTAAAACAAACACAGTCAAAAACAACACCAGCCCCATGCTACCCAACACCAAAATGTAGAAAGAAAGTTTAAATATATAGATTCAAGTCTTTCATTTCTCTAACTTCACATCAGTAAGATTATGTAAGGCAGACTAAGTTATTTTAAAATACAGAGAATCCTCTAATTCTCTCTGATTTAAGGTAAGTACAGTAAATGATGGTTCAGGTCTGCAGGCCCTATTTCTGCATTGCAACACTATCAAGATATGGTGAGGAGTTTTTATTTCTCTTGAACCTATACTTCAGAGTAATTACTCCGTCTCTATCTCTGCTGAACTTCAAAAGGCCTCTGCTTGATGAAGACCATTATTCTCTYTGATTATAGTGGTTGTGTTTAAGTGAAGTATGAGCAACATAGCAAATGGGTCATCTCTAAATTGGGGATGTTTTATGAGCTCAGGTGTAAGATATTTGAGAGTAAACATGGACTTACTCATRTGACTTGTCTGCGCATGTAGACATACAAAAGGTCCTAAAGCCTCGTCTGTCATTAAACCCCAATCACTACTTTTCAGGTCTTAACTGCTCTTTCTTTCTTTCTYTCTGAATTCCACTAAACTAAAGCTAAGATTTGAAGATGTTTCAGAGTAAAAAATAAATCAAGTTTTTTTGTGGTGTTTCAATTACATCAAATAAAAATTTAGACATTTATTTAAC